GTCTTTCTGTGTATGAACTACTTCTAGCTTTAGCCCCTATAATTAATTATTTATTAATCATGTATGCATAAATTTTCATTATAGGACCTTGTCCAGAAAAACCAACTTGTCTACATACAACACTAGCATCATTGTCATCCCAATAATCATCACATATAGTACCCCAGGTCTTATTAACACATAGCTCCACTCTTCCCACCAATGGATCAGAACCACCAACTAGTCTAATATCACCATTTTCACAAGGAGCTGTATAATTATAGATTATGATTCAATCTATTAAAGCAGGCAAACCCTTACTTTCACACCTCACACCAGCATCATACTCATGGCTAGTGCCTGGAATGTACTGTGATTGTGAGGTGCAGTCAAGCAATGAATTTCCTGAGGAATAGCAGTATGTATACATTAATATTGGACCACTTCCTTCACCAAATTTTGTGTTATAAATATACATATACATGGCGCCTATAAAATGCAAATAAAATAAATAAATAACTTCATATAAATATGTACCAGGAGAGGTAAATCCTAATGCATTGCATACTGTCTGAGCAAAGTAATAGTCATAGTAACGACTGTAAACAGTTCCCCATGCATTATTTAGGCAAACTTCAACTCTTCCTTCATATTCTGTGCTACCACCAACCAATCTAATATCACCATCAGTGCAATTAGAATAGGTTGAAATACCATGAGCTACAAATATTAGATTACTCATTTATGAAAAAAGTATATTTAGTCTACCTGGACAAACAACATTAGCATCAGCCCAATTAGATGAACAAACAGGAGCATTAGCATCAACTAGACAATCAAAAATGCTTTTTTCAGTTCCATTACAATTTAAACCAGTTAATAAAGTTATTCCACGTTCTTCACTATTCCATGAAGAAGTAACAGCAATTGAACCTATAGAACCAGATATATACATGCATGGTGATAATTTTGCACCAAATACATTTACAACAATAATAATTACCATAAGGAGAGAATCCTAGCTGCCTACAAACAACACTAGCTTCATTATTATCCCAATAGCTATCTCTGCAGACAGTTCCCCATATTCCTTCAACACAAACTTCAACACGACCATAATAGTATCCACCACCAACAAGACGTATGTCACCAGATGTACAATTTGCTAATGATACAACAACAGAATTAAAACATACACTTTACTAGACTAACCTTCACAGTTTAATTCAATGGCATTGTTAGTACAATACTGAATACTAGAATGGAGTCCAGAACCACATGACAACAGTGTTGCTTCATTACCCTGACAGTTGAAATAAGAATAAATGATAGGAAACAGTCCACTAGTGGTCCCTCTGATGGATGAATGACCTAAGCAAAATAATATATTTTAGCTTACACTTTTATTAGTGAAACAAACCGTAGCTATAATATCCCAACTGAAAGCAAGCAATATCTGTTTCAATGTTATTCCAATTGTTATTGCTACACACAGTTCCCCACATTCCATTACTACACACATGAAGTATTCCTTGGTTTGGTATAG